TTTATAATTTATTTAATTTCTCTCTCTTATTGTGTTTGCAGAAAAAATCGAATGCCTCGCCTTCGCTGTGGTATTGCTACATGAAGAACAGTTGGCGCATGTTTGCGCTGGGCGGCTTTTTGAAGTTGGCCGGTGATTTATTTGCATTGATTGGTCCGCTGGCCATACAGCAAATAGTGCAGTATATTGAGGGACTCTATGCGGCGGCACAGGAAGAAGTTCGGGCGCAGGTTCATACACAGGCAGCTACAGCAAATAGATCAATACAAGTGGAGGGAGTTGGGGGGCCTAATGCGGCCGCAGATGGTGCCGATGTTGATTACTACTACTATGATGTTGCCAATGATGATGGGGCCTACAATGATATGGGTTTGGGCATGGGCATGGGTATTGGCATTGGTGATGTGCGAATTTACTATGCCAGATGGTCGGATTTGCTAACAAATGGCTGGAGCATTGCTTGGCTGGTGTTATTGGCCGCATTGGCGCAGGCCGCATTGTCGCAGGCCTCCACGCATGTGCTCAACATGACGGGCATCAGGATTAAAACATCGCTACAGGGTCTAATTTATCGCAAAAGTTTGCTTCTAAATGCCAGCAGCGGTTGTGGCAACAATGCCGCTGATGATGACGACAAACCATCGACTCCTGCTCCTGCTGCTGCTCCTGCTGCTGCTGCTCCTGCTCCTGCTGCTGCTCCTGCTCCTGCCACAGACACTACTTCCGCAGCTGATGTACAGCAAAATGGCAAAAACATTAGGTTGACTCCCAATGATAAGCCTGTCGAGGTGGCTGCCACACAACAACAACAACAACAGCAACAACAACAACAAAGGCAAACGGAGCGTTCAGGCGGTGAGTGTTTGGCTTTGCTGCCAACTCGAACTCGAACTCATCCCACGCATTCATTTATCCATCCACACATCGCCCCTTCCCCCTATTCCCACCCCCCTTAACCACAATCTCTATGTGTGCCCAAGTTCTGTTTGACAGAGGCAAATGTGCGTTTGGTGTTAATTGAAAGTTTTACGGCTGAAGTGTTTGCTACCTGGCTAAAACCCCTGGCCAAATGTCCACGTGTAATTGGCTTAAGTGGGCGTGGCCATGTGAATCGTTATTTGTTTTCAGCTGCGCCGAGAGACTGAGTCCGCTTTTCGTATCCAGTAAAGACAAATTGCTTTTGCGAATGGCTTAGTCCAGTCAAAAGAGTTTAGCTTCATGGCGTTACACGTTTTTATGACAATCGACGTGACTCAATGAAATAGCCCAATCAATATAGAACGCTAGCTGATTGATTTCTAATCAGCTCAGCATTGAAGTTAGGGCATTCCCTTAGCCGAGCAAGTCTATAAAGTTGAACAAACCAAAATAAGTTAGTTGATTAATTGATGAAGATGACTTGATGGTTAATTTAATTAATAAAGTTAACTAAGAAAAAAAAAAAAAAAGACTAAAAAAATAATTATATAGAGTTGAAAATTCTTTTCTTTTTTTTTTTAATCAAAAGTTGTAAATAGTACACAACAGATATTTTAACTTGATTATATATATATTATTTGAGATATAGATTTATTTATTTTTTTTTGGTTACAAATTTTTTGTTTTACTTTAAACTTTCTAAATTTTATTATTGAGAAATGATACAAAGTTCAAAGGCAGTTTTATTTTTTTTTATTATTTTCAATTATTTGTGGTAAATTAAAAAAAAATAAAAATCGTAAAAAAAACATTTGCTACTAATAAATTGAATAAAGTGCCCTAAAACACTGCAGCAGCAACTCATGTATAATATGTATATTTATCCAAAACTGTTCCACTTTTGGCATACAATTAATTGCCTGTGACCTTAACTAGCATTTAATGTAATTTGTTATTTATTTATTGGCATCGCTTCTCGCACAGGCCTCGGCGATATTGGTGCCATCACGAATCACATGACGGAGGACACGCTCAACATAATGCAATTCTTTTGGATCGCTCACTATGCCTGGGCTATTCCATTCAAGGTTCGTATCAAAAACTATGCTAATTTACGAGCAACTTGTGTGCCATTTTAGATGCTCGGTCATTGATCGAAGAGGGTATATTGGTTGTGAGTAATGTTGTTTGTTTGTATTTCTGTCTGTCTGTGTTGTAAGTTTTTAATATTATTTACATTGCACAAATACGTTTATAAAAAATACATAAATAAAATTCTGTGAGCTGTGCGGTCAAAAGTAATTTGTAAAGCAATAAGAACTTGGCACGTGCACAACTCATCCAGCGCACCACAATTTAAATTCCAGTTGGTAGCTGTTGCATATTACAAGTTGCAAGGTTCATGTGGCACGTTGCACGTTGCATGTGGCAACAGATTTGGCTTGAATTATAATGAAAATCTAAAACACATTACAAAATTACTCGCATGCAAAATTCCAATGAAATAGCAATTTGGCTCAACTGCTCGCAGAATGCACACACCCACGCATACACACGCACACGCACACGCACACACACACGCACAGTGGCACATAATATAATTCGATGATCGTCGTCCTGGCTGTAGTGCGAATATGGCTATTAAATTTCTACCGCTTGCCCTTTATTGATTCGCATTTGAGCACTGGCATCAATAGAGGTAGGCAGGGAGACGTATTATCCGCCCTGCCCGGAGCTCTATGTGTCTGTGGAGCCTATGTCCATGCCACAATAATATGCAACAATCTTCATGCCCCGGACGAGTCACAGTGCCTGACTGCCTGCCTGGCTGCCAGCCTGACTGCCTGTCTATCTATCCGTCCGTCTGTCCGTGTGTCCGTGGCAATGCAGTGAAATGAAAAATTTAATTTTCATAATACTCGAAAACAGTGCAATCCAATGGCCGGGCAGCCCATCCAATTTCCATCCAGGCGAGCGGCCCACCATGCACGCCCTACACTTCTGTAATGGAAATTGAAAATATTTTCTCTGGCTTTCCCATACCTCGGACTATATATTTGCTCTGGCTCGGACTCTGGCAGCCGGAGCTAGAGCTGGAGCTGGAGCTAGAGCTGGAGCAGGAGCCGGGCTGCTGCTTTGATTGCAGCTGCAATTCATTCTCTCATCCATTTCCATGGGGCATTATTTTGATCGGAAAATGAATAAAAGGCACAGCATGAGTGTGTCTCTCCCCTCTCCCTCTCTAGCACGCCTTCACTCTGTTCACATATGAGTTTTGTGGCTGGGCTCTATTAATTGAGTATAAATATTTGTCAGATGCCGTCAAGTCAGTTGCTGCCTGCCTGCGAAATATTGTCGATGGCMAAAATATCGAATGTGAATCGAATGAATCGCATCAGCTTTCTATTTGCTTTATGTCTGGCCTAATCAAATTGGTTTTTAAAATGTAATCGCTGCATACAAAATGTCCACACACAGATAGAGAAAGAAAGACAGAGAGAGAGAGAGAGAGAGAGAGAGAGAGGGAGAGGAAGAGTTCCATAATTGCCTTGAGGCCCTACGAAAATAAGCTCGTAATCATAATATTGCCAATTTAGTTTCTATTTTTGTGTCGACTTTACTTACGCAAATATTGTTCTTTTGCTGGCCAAAGTTTATTTGAAACATTTTACTCAAATCAGAGATTCATATTTGTGAGAGAGAGAGAGAGAGAAATGAAAAATGTATTTATGTGAATATGCTGATGCATTTGAAAAGTGATAAGAAAAATAGCATTAAAATTCAAATAAATAATGAATCACTTTATGAAAATCATAAAAGCATGCAATACAAATATTTAAAAAAGTAAAAAATACAAAAATCAAGAAACAGAAGTAAAAATGTAAAATAAAATGTATATATAACGATGTAATAATATAATATGTATACAAATATCCAAATGCAAATCCAAATACTTTTCTTAGATATAAATCATGAATAAAAGATTATTAAAACATAAAACAGTAAAAAAAAAAAAAAAAAAAAAAAAAAAAAAAAAAAAAAAAATT